ACTGATTAGTGTTTATATGAATTTAAAAGACAATATGATGCTGATAGCCTGTATGATCTCAGCTATTTGACATTGTCTCTGTTCATTTATCCATCCCAGCTGAAGGACCAGCGGGAACGAGAGAGACGAGTGAAGAAAAGCGCGGGCGGCAGTGTGTCAGAGGAGGTGGGAGAGTTCGATGATCTCGTGTCGGCGCTTCGCTCAGGTGAAGTCTTTGACAAGGACTCGAAACTTAAACGCAACCGCAAGCGCTCTGTCAACCAGCTGGCGGATGGAGGGGGTCGTGAAAGACCAGTCACCAAGGTGAACTATTGACCCCAGTGAATACAGTCAAAAGGAGACCAGACTTCCTATATTCACAGACTGACGGGGAACTCTCCTGAAATGTTGTCATTTTGCTCAGACCAGTACTAAGTGACAAGCTCAAAGATGGACAGGCTCACTGTAAAATAGTCTGGACATATGTGAAGGATACCCTGCAATCTCTCTCCTCTTGTTTCTGCTTCTCTGTCTTCCTTCTTGTCATGTACACTCAAACTGACATCTTACTATTGGTTTTTGTGGCCAAATGCACAACCTGATGTCCAACAAGTTCAAGAAGAGCAGTCTGGCGCTGCGAGGTCTCACAATACAAGGAGGATCACTTGTCGAGTCATTCTTATAACCAGCCACGGTTATTGTCCTTTCTCAGCCGCCCATTCCCTTGCTCTAACTTTGGGAGATTGAAAGAAAGTCCCATTTTTTGGAAATCTGGTACCTCTAAACTTCGGATCCAACTGTGCTTTTCGATTTAAAGGACGCAGCTGGTGCTTCTTAAACATGAAAATGGAGATATATATTGTTCAAAGCTAGATGTTGGGATTACCACATATGAAATGTAACACTGTGGATGCAGCCTTACAGGTTGGGATACTCCTTCCCCAAGTGCCTCTACACATTAACAGCATCCCGAGGACATCCCGGATTCAGACGAGAGAATAACACTTGCAGAGAGACACAGAGAATAATTATGACATTATGAATGCAGAAATTCGAGCTCCTTTACATACATTGTGTCAAACAGTTAAAAGAGCCCATAGGATTGTCATGGCATTTCTGTATTTATATGTAGAAGCAGACCCAATCTCATATTTCATGTTTATTTGTGTTTAGCGCTTTTTCTTTGAACGCTTCAAGGTACACCAAAGTAACACAATAATGCATCTCCATCAGGTTGTTACTGGAATACGTTTGTGGCCTTGAATCGGTCATAAATGGTCTTATCTGTCCTCTACAGCCTGCAGTTTTTATCCAAAACGCTCTTAGGTAGCATTCTAGGAAGGAAGGGACAATGACGCTTGGTTTAAAGAAGTGGTTAGCAACGAGCAAGTACACCATGTGTCTTTTTCAGGTTAACATACTGAACCTTTGGGCCTTGATTATATTTCACAGAATGATGCCTCGCATATATCTAAATGTTTATTAAGAAACACTAGGTACACATACTGCTATTTTCCAGGTCTGAAGAAAAAAAAAAGTTGTCTCCACCGACTTAGACCTTTTATCTCGAGGACAACATTATGTAACCCACTTTGGTTTTCTTGTTTATTATATATTGTGCATATTTTTTAAACATATTAAGTAGCTGTAGTCAGGACAAAGGTTGCAGATGTACAAAGAATGATATGGCAGAGAACAGACACCAGATGAGATTTGGATACAGACACAGATGTGAAGAAGGCAATGCTAAAGGTGTGAGTGCAAACATCTGAAGAAGAGATGTAGAGTCCACCGAGATGGTCATTATGTATTGGAAGCTTTTTTTTTCTTCTCGAGAGGTGTCCTACTGTTTTCAGTACAGCATGCGACAGGTATTTGTAGGCCTCCTGTCATCGGCCCATATGGGCTCACAGCGGGCGTTCTGTATAATTTGATTGTGTTGATCTTTTAAATATGGACACAAATGGTGCTAATTGTCCATTTTTGTGGGTACAGCTCTGCGCCCCCTGACCCAGCTTAAGAAACGAGATGGGTGTCTGTATGAGAGAATGGACTTTGGTATATCCATATTTGGTTGAGCCGGTGGGATAATTTATTAACAGTCCAAAAAAACACAAGTTTCAACACTAAGCTTGCAAGTGCCATTACAACGGGCCAGTGCCGTCATTCTCTCTTTTCTCACTTGCATCAGCTCATTATGTGTACTTATTTAGATTTAATAATTGAAAGGTGTATATTTATGTATATTTTGTCAATGGTGTACCTATATACCAAATTGCAGTCCCGTCTGGTTTAGGTCACATGTTTTGTGAGTAATGACTTGATCACTTATTACGAGTCAGTATGATTTGTTCAACAGTTGTGCTTAAAATCTTTTCGGTTTGAGGTGAAAAGAGCACAGAGGGTTGTCTAGAACATTTAGAAAAAGACAATTATTGCCTATTTAAATCTGAACGTTTCAGTTAGCTTTAACTGTAATTAGTTTGATTGCACTTCTTAAGGATTCCCCATGGAGATCTTACGGCAAAGTCCTAAAGCTTGAGCCGATTCATTTGAGATCACGCACAATTTAGGAATGTGGGTTTGCACAATTTACTGTTCAGGGCGCACCGAAATGAATACGAAGGCATATACTTTTGTTGGACTATTTTATAATCTGGTTAATTATCTTAAAAAAAAGATCCCCTTGCCAAATTAATATCGGGGAGTTTTGGGCTATTTTATTTCCTTTACGTCTTTATTGTTCTCGTCATGAGAGGACTGGTTTTGCAGACACCGCGGTGTTCTGTCTTTCCAGATCCACAGAGTATTCAAATCTTCAGTATTATTATTTGTATTATTATTATTTTTTTTTGTATGTATGTATGTATGTATATTTGGTCATTGATTGTCCAAAACAGAAAGGAAAAGATGTAGCTATAGTTGCTTGATGCACTTTTTTGTAGGACAAACTTTTCCTGCACCACAAACCTGAGGAGCCAAAGGCTGATGAAAAATATGAAAATTGAAGTATATTTTTGTAGTTAAGAAATCAGGCCTTAGTAAATAGGTGTAAATGTATCCAATAATCCAAGTTCCATTGTTTTTTTTTTTTTATAACACTAAACCTTTTGTTGGATTGAGCATTGATAGATATGATATGGGCCGTGATATGAAGGGTAAAGAAAATTGATTGTTTATCTTCTATACATGTTATAACGAAGTAAATATACTGTATAAGACAGTCTGCATCTGAACACAGCAAGAAAAACTGCCTAAATGTATCACTCACTTTTATCTAGATATTTTTGAAAGAGAATGTTTCGCCTCACACTTCTGCTTGGTCCAATAATGCACTTGATGTTTTCCCTATTGGCTCGAGTTGTGCATAGGTGTGTTTCTTTGATAATACCGGTGTATTATTATTATTATCTGTGACATGAAACGCTCCACCCCCTGATTTTGAGGTTGTAATTGTGACAAATGCACAATTTTAAAGGCTGATTTGACACAATAGATGTATCGTTCTCAAATCTTTTGTACACCATCGTAGAAACAAGAAACGGTCAAATTAAAGTCTGAAGAATGTGGAAATGATTTTTTTCCCCTGTAAATTGAAGCTCTATTTATTTAGTTTGCTATATTTTGTATGTATACGCAACATTATGACAGAAATGGTATAAACATAACTATATAGTGATTGATATTTGTCAGATAGTTTGTATGAGAATGGCAAGCCAGGAATGGGCGACTTCCGTCCTGTCGAGTTGAGATCAACCCTGATAAACACCCGCTGTCTGTAGCTTTAGTGACCGTGCAGAGCTTGCTTAGCTTGTTCAGGAGTGTTTCATTAGAATTGGAGGTGAAGTCTGCAAGACATTGACTCTCCAGGACAGAAGTTGCCCATCCCTGATTTATATATTATGGTTTGACCCTCAAACCCTCCTGATCCCCTTTTCCATGTGACATTTTGTAGAGTAAAAATAAACTTGTTTCACTGACATCTGCATATTTATTTTATTTTATTTGAGTTACACTCCTGTACAGCTGGCTCTTAAATCACTTGTGTGTCTAACGTTGTGCTATGAATATCCCAGGCAAACACAGTCTTCCTTTCATTCGGGGATGGCAGTTCTCACAGATGAAGTTGTTTCTCACGGTGTAACACTGCCCTCTTCCGGCCCAACATTATTAGGAAGTCCTAGCAAGTCAGTTTATATGCATGACTTTACAGTAACAATACGTTAAATAATTCTATATATCCATAACAATTGACCATGACAGAAAAGAAATAAATCTTTTGCTCCCAAACAAATCAGGTGGATCTGTCATTCAAACATTTTATTATTGCAGTTGAGCAAATTATACATTCTAAACTTTAGCAATTTGATTAGAAAATCAAGTCCTGCCCTACAATTTTTCTTGTTCAAGAAGCTGTTTCACTTGGATATACGTCACAATAGAAAAGAGAATACTAGTTTCATGCCGCCTTTAACCACAGACCTTATTTCAGGCATTTAACCCCGAACCCATCGACTTCAGGTTGATGGAACGGGAAGAGCAAAAATGATAACTCCAGGTTTTTACATTTTCCAGTTATTTGTATTTTGTTTTAAAGGGATAGTTTCAACGTTTACTCAACCCTTGTGTTGTTCCAAACCTGAATTAACTTTTTTTTCTTCATATTTTTTTAACACTGGGGTCCAAACAACACTAAACCCCATTGACTTTCATTATATGGGAAAACAAACAAAAAAACTGACCACCGAGTCATTTTTCAAAACAGTTTTGCTCCATTTTTGCTCGGGTATAGGCAAAACCTTTTCAAAGCAAAATAGGTATCCTCATAGAAATGCTGTTTATTATCATTATCAAAATAAATCTAGACCAAAATATAGTATTCTTTGTGTTAGTAAATGATTCTTGCTTGACTATATCACATTTCATGCTGGTCATAGACACAGGAATAGCCCTGATGACCATTAGCGGATCAGCTAGAGGCGTCTGAAGGCACGTTGTGCTCGAGAACAACTGATGTCGCTCTAGAGAGAAGAACTAAGCTACATTCACACAGGTTGATGTGCGTTCTTTAGGAGTCGGTCAGCGATGGAAATCTCCTCTCTGCCCACCCGTCTTGCTGAGTAACTTGATGTCAGTGATGATAATGTCCCGGCTGACTGACTTGCACATGTCGTAGAGAGTTAGCGAGGCGACGGTGACGGCGCTCAGAGCCTCCATCTCCACTCCCGTGCGGCCCGTGGTTTGGCAGGTCGCCTTCACGATGACGGCATGTGCTTCTTCCAGCAGCTCGACGGTAACGGACACATGGTCCAGAGGAAGCGGGTGACAGAGGGGAATGAGGGATGAGGTCTGCTTGGCACCCATGATGCCCGCTAGCTGTGCTACTGCTAGGGCATCGCCCTTGGCGAGCTGGTTGACACACACCAGATGAAAAGCTTTTGGACCCAGGATGACTTTACCACAAGCTGTGGCTGTGCGACAAGTTACCGCCTTACTGCCCACATTAACCATGGAGGCTTTACCCTGGGCATCAGTGTGGGTCAACCCGTCAGAGGTTCCATCAAAGCTGGACGATTGTGCGTCTGCATGTGGCATTTTCAAATCGAACCCTGTTTTTTTGTGGCAGTGGCGTGCAAACTGCAGAGATGCATCTCTAAATCTGTATGTGGACAGTAGTGCACTGGGAAGGGGGACAGGAGCCAACGTTTTGGACTGTAGCTGAGTTGGGCGAGACCTCCAGGGCAGCATGTGTGTAGGAGGGGGCTTTGAGGCACGATGAGATTCGGTCATCGCGTCACTGCAAAGTGCCAATGAGGCTGCGCGCATGTGTCGTAGATTATTAATGCTCATCATGGGATTATCCTTTCTATGAAAATGAGTCAAGCCTTGTGCATCATTAACACAAGTGCTTGTGTCGTCCTGATGGACATTACTAGTAAAGTGTTGAGTGTGATGTGGTAAAGAGGCTGCTGGATCAATGCTGTGGATCAGAGGAAGACGCCAGCTGTGATGTTTATCTGTGAACAAGGACACACACATTCAACAATACTGAACTTCTGAACGTCAGTCTGAACTGCTGGAAATCTGGGAAATGGATACATGTTTACCTGAGAAAACAGGGGTGGCTAATAAACAATAAATGTTGGTTGTTGGTCGGGGTGTGCGTCTTGTGCGATATAAATCATCTACGATAATATTGTTGGGTACTTTCCTGTTATCCGGACCCCACCATATACCATGGGCGGGGTTAGGGGTAGGCCATCGTCCCTGATTGGTCTACCCCAGTGACGGGTAGGTTTAGGGGCGGGGTTAGGGGTAGGCCATCGTCCCTGATTGGTCTACCCCAGTGACGGGTAGGTTTAGGGGCGGGGTTAGGGGTAGGCCATCTTCCCTGATTGGTCTACCCCAGTGAAGGGTAGGTTTAGGGGCGGGGTTAGGGGTAGGCCATCGTCCCTGATTGGTCTACCCCAGTGACGGGTAGGTTTAGGGGCGGGGTTAGGGGTAGGCCATCGTGGGGTCCGGATAACAGGAAAGTACCTATTGTTGTTTTAACAATGTGGAAGCTGGAATCATTGAGTATGTCACTAGCTTTGAAAAACACGAGTGCAGATAGTGATTCATCTTTAATGAATAGTTTAAATATTGGTGTCTGGGATAATGTGTGAGCCAGGAGACTGTAGCGTGAGCTTAGCTTAAATCTGTGAGGATTCTCAATTGAAACAAGTAGCAGCCTATTTATGCTCCATTTTGCCAAATAATATAGTTGCTAACAAAGCTACAGCAGTACATAGTGATGGGAGGAACTGAAGCGTTCGAAGCGCCACACGCTGGTGACCTCTGCTGGGTAAATGCAGAAAAACATGCAGAAAAACACAAACCTGATGTCAGGGGTCAATCTCAGTAAATCAGCATAATTCACGGCTTCACAGAAATCTTTTTTTTTTTTTTTTGACAATATCACACACCCCTAGTTCATCAAAAAAATACATATTTTTTATAGAAAACAAAAATATAGACAGGTTGCTTGTACTTAATGCATCTAAAAAAGTTCAAATGTAAATGCATCACACTTTTGTTTATCACATACTACATGCAAAAATAATAATAATAATACTGTTTTGTTCATTTGACTGACATGTCCTTTGCAAACAATTTTTTCTGCTTTGACAAACTTCTACTGGTCCATCAGCCTAACGCTGTGAGTGAAAACAGAAGCGAGCGAGTGATGTGGGAAGTGTATTACGTACAGCTGTGTCACCCACCAATGAGGATCATCGGCCTGTTCTTCATCTGAGATATATTGAACATCCCTGAAAAAAAAAAGAGAGAAAGTTATATTCAATAAAAAAAAGTACATGATGACGTAGACATTGCATAAGAGTGTGTGGCTTTGTACAAAAACACCCCCTATACCCTCATTTACTATTCCCTTCATTAGTTCACTAATATAGTCCACTTGAAGGAGTGAATGAAACTAGTGAGTGAATTCAGACACCGAGTCATTATCAGTGGAAGTGCTGCTGCTTTTGCATAGTTTGAGCTTGCCGTTTAATCATTTTTGCAAAAAAAATTTGCAAACTGGCAGCTCCAGTAGTAATAAGAATATTTATCTTGAACTAGCATGTATAAACCTTAATTAAACAATGAAATAATCCATTTAAAAATGCATTTATACCTGTATGATATTATGATAGTACCTACATTGGACCGCATTGATTGAGCTGCGTTGCCATCTTCTGGTCAGATGCGGGAATTCATTCAGCGCACGACCATCACAATGCATGATGGGTATTCTCTAGCCGTTGAGCATACATTGGTTGTACACTCGTTATTGTGGTGCATTATGGGATTGAATGAGTAAGCTCGATACATCCACTATGGTTTTGGACACCACTACTACTGGCTGTTCCCTCAAATAATGCCCTATTTAGGGGTATAGGGGGCGATTTCAGACACAGCCTGTGTGTGTGTGTGTGTGTGTGTGTCTTTACCTGCATGCTGTTTCTTCTTCCTCCCGACTGCTGCCCCTATGATGTGCAGTAGTTCCTCTTCAGGTGCTCCAGAGCGCAGAATATCCCTCAAAGACACCTCTGAATTCCCAAACAAACAAACCTAATAGCATGCCAACACACACACACACACACACACATATATATAAAACACAGAGTAGACAACTGGGTGAGAAGCATAAGGGTGAGTAAGGAACGTCAAACACAGCATGTACCTTCAGGTTGCCATCGGCCGTGATGCGCAGGCGGTTACAGGAACCACAGAAATGGTCTGACATGGAGGTAATGAAGCCCAGCTGGCCTCGAAATCCTGGTACTCTAAACGCCTGAGAACACACAACACAGAAATACACACATGAGGGCTTATCCGCTGATGCTTCACGATTCAAGATTGCAAAAGGAATGTTTTGATAAAAGCTTTTCGGCCTATTAATAACATGAGAAAGTTACAAAACATTTACAGACCAATGGATAATAACTGCCTAGTAACACTGGAAATAACCTCAGCAATGAGCCAAAACAAAAATATTTTCAAATTAGCTCCAATGAGAATTCAACATTGAGAATGATTCATGGCCAGTGATTTATTTATGAGTCTGAAGCAGGGCTGACCTTGGCTGTGTCGGTTTCCTCTCCAGGCACAGGTTCCAGATTGGGCCATTTTTGCTTTATACAGTCCAGCATCTCCTGAAAGCTCACCATCATCTTGAAGTTCCATCTGTTCCCTACAGACACAGCCAATGTGTGTAAAGATGCTTAAACAACATACAACTGCTTTACATTTTTCTATGTAGAAATGGTTTCTCCAAACATGGATTAAATGGCAGATCATTTTCATTCAAATTTTGAATTTTGGAAGACGTGAAAAACTGAGATTTTCACCTGGAGCCAAATTACATTGGGGTAAAAATTACTTTAGAAAGATGGCAGCATCATTATTTTATTTTTACACAGAGATTGGTCAGTCTATTAGTAAAATATGTTTACTTTAACAATCTTTGTTGCGTTATATGCCGACGGTGACAGTTCAAAAATGAAAAAAAAAGCACTTTTGGTGTTTTTCCCCCAAAGGCTCCAAATCGCAGGTGAAAATTGTAATTTGACCCGCCTCTACAAAATAGTGGATAAGTCCATAAATATACATCCATGACATTTAATATTTCGATTTTTGTCACTATTTATGTTTGTTTTTCCTTCAGAAATAAAACCGAAACTATGAGCCGGGGTAGTTTCCAAAATGTTGGTTGATTTGACACGGAATGACCCTGTACTCAAAAGGCAAAGTGTGAAGAAAGATATTAATATTTAACTCAAACTTGGAGTGTTTCACTACAACTGCAACGACAAAACAAGAAAGAAAATTAATCTAAAATGTCATAGTTTGTTAATGAATGTTCTCCAGTGCTTATCTCGACCTTTCTGAACCTTACAATGAACAAGTGCAATGAAAATGCCTTTTTGTTCATTAAGTTGGAGTCTGTAGTCATTCATAGTTTCACTTTGTGTCGTGTGAGTTAGATGAGTCACTGTTTCCACACTTCACAAACAGCTCCATTGATCACAGTATCTAGTAATTTAGAGGTGAATATTACTTAAATGATTCTAGGCCTTAAACATCACCAGAATGTGGACTGTGTTACATGTGTTATGAAAATAAATCCTGAGGAAAACAAAGTCTCACTGACCTGGAAAGATAATAATCTGCACTACTAATACGATTAGAGCACTGGGGCAGAAACTGAAGCCTTTACAACCGTGCCAATTATCCTACAACCTGTAACAAGCGTACAATGAAGACTTCTCTCTTTGACTTTAGCTCACATAATCTTACCATCAAACGGCATGTACTCAATGAATCTCACATCCAATGGTTTCCTCTCTGTCAGAGATACAAAGTCAACCAACTCGTCTTCATTCAGACCTCTCATGACCACACAGTTCACCTGAGAACAGAGTTATATAGTTATATAGTAGTGTGTTTTGCATAGTATAGACGTCAATGAGGTCCATCAACTGTGTGGTTACCCATATTCTTCAAAATATCTTCCTTTGTGTTCAGCAGAAGAAAGACATTCATACAGGTTTGAAACAACTTGAGGGTGAGTAAATGATGACACAATTTTCATTTTTGGGGTGAACTTTAAGAAAATATTAATATTAACAACAAACTTTTTGTGTGTTGCTAGAAAGGTAGTAATAAATGCCCTGAAGTGAGTTATGGGGCTCCAGCATTTGGTTACTTTTAACAATAACATTATTATTATTATTATTAACAGAACTTTTGCACCTTTTTGAAGCTGTAACCTTAGACATTGATCATTTCATGCATCAAAAGAGATTGTAAAACCTCATGTTTTGAGAAAGGTACATTACCTTGACTGGATCGTAGCCCATTTCAATAGCCTCTTCAATGCCTTCCCTCACTTTATGAAACCCTGCAGGTGACACCAATATTGAGCGTCCATTAGAAAGTGTTGTAGGCAAGACCATTTCAAATAATGGTTGCCAATATGTGACTTTCACAGCTACAGCTAAAATCCATATCCGTATATATTTCAATCTATTTTCTAGTAAAAACATCTCTGCAACAGTCTCTGAAATGATTGTATCAGTTAGTTATCACAATACTGCGATTGTAAAGCTTAAATACTTGGCATTACAAGTTTATTACTGAATGATTGAAATACCCTTCAAAGTCTGACAAAATGTTTCCTAATTAGCTTCTAATTAGAACATGTTAATTTAGCGAAGACAAACATTTTGACACAATACAAGACTTAAATTGGGTTAGAGTTATTTTTTTAATAGTTTATTTAGATAGGGACAGACACAAATAACATAGATCAACTTTAACAGTCATCTGATGTATGTATCAGTGTTTTTAGCTAAAGCTAATTCACAACACTTGTCCCTAGTAGGGCTGTTATGTCCCTAGTTATGTAACAAACCCTACTGATGGAAGTTACACTGTACACTTGTGTTTCTGCAATGTGTTTTGATTCTGAAATGAGAACATGGAGCTCTTACGACTGTACATCTTCATAATCCTGTTGTTAATAATTATCTATGTTTGAGATCAACAATTAGGGCCCTATGAAATCGATTTAATTTTTTCCCAAATTCCGTTCGCTTTTTCAGTTTACTTTTTTTTTTCTTTTACATTTTTTCTGACTCCATTTTAGTGGTTAAATTACATTTTAATAATCAAAAAAACATGTCTAATTAATATACAATTTAAAAAAATTTTATTAAAAGTTCTAAAAATTACATGTTTAGGGCCCTATGAAATACATTTTATTTTTTACCAAATAAAAATAAAAGTTTTCTGGATTCCATTTTAATGGTTTAATACATTTTTAATAAAATTTAATTTCTAAGAAAAGTTTTTTTTATTTCAGAAATTCTGTGTTGTGTATTTTAATTTTCCTGGCAATCAAATGAAGGCATAAAAAATGTATTTAATCATATGAAATTAAACAAAAAAATGTCTAAAAAAGTGCTGCACAAAAAAGGTTAATAATATTTAATAATTTATTATTATTATTGTTGGTATTGTTATTACATTGAGACATAGCTAAATTCTACTGTACTTGTGTGTGTGTGTGTGTGTGTGTGTGTGTGTGTGTGTGTGTGTGTGTGTGTGTGTGTGTGTGTGTGTGCTAACGAGTCTCTCTGTGTCTCGGTGTGTGTGTGTGCTAACGATTCTGTGTCTCAGTGTGTCTACCTTTGAGTTTCTGTGTGTTTATGATGATAGTTTTACTCAAATGAAATGGTAAAATGCCAATGAAGAGACTCTGGAGAAGAAGTTCATGCATTCATGTCCTCATATAGAGAGGCGGAAGAGGCTGAACACACGGCAAGCGTCACGCAAGCTTCAGGTTGTGTGTGTGTGTGTGTGTGGTAAATGAAACAATTCATTCACACAGAGACACACAGAACATGCAGGATTCATTTTTAAGTAGTCTTTTTGCAGTTTAATATTCACAGACACTAGTCTATATCACGATTTGATGTAAGTGTACTGACCTGATTTTTATTTATTCATCCAAAATGTAAAAAATTCCATGAAATTCTGCATTATACAGAGAATTCTGTTTTTATGACTGGATTCCATTTCGCATAGGAGAGTATAGGGCCCTAAACAATGGAGCTAAACTGCTCTCTATGTTCTGCTTCTACCTTTGAGCTGCAAGACCTTCCCCTTCCTTCATCCAGCACACCTCATGCTGTCTATCTGCACCTGTCTACATCTGTCCTGGAGGAACACAAACTCTGTGTTCAGATATAGGAGTTATATTTCAGTGACTGATCAACAGCACCTTTTCGTCTAGCGATGAACTCAAATTTGGCCGGGACCAGGGTGTCCAGGCTGATGTTGAGCAGATCCACTCCAGCTTTCTTCAAACCGGGCAACAGCCGGCTCAGATTCATGCCGTTTGTGGTGACTGCAATGGTCTTCAGACCCTCCAACTTCCTCAATTCCGCTTTCAGAAAGAAAAAAAGAGAAAAAGTCAACTATTTAAAGTTTAATTAGCATTTCTGGCTGCAACATTGTTTTGGCGGGCTTGTTTTTAAAAATATTCGCCAATAAGCGCGAAACATGCTGTACATGGTCCGTGGTTCGTGTAATTTTGCATCCATTCCTTTTTCCTTTTTAAAACCAGAAATTAAATATGCAAGATGCGATTTCTCCTTTTTTTTTCTTTTTTTTTTTTTAAACACTGATTAATAGAATTAGCAGATACAAGATAATTTTTCCTATACAATATGAAATATTCCATATGCATATTTTATTAAAGATAATATAAGTTATATAAAACTTGTTTTTTTAATTAGTAAATATGTTAAATTTAATTTCTAGAGTTTTTACGTCAATACACAGACGCTAAAAGTATCTTTAGTCTCTTAGTCTCTTTCGAGATGTCTATATCACTACTGTGTTATGATTCAAAGTTAGCAAGCATTTACAAAGCTAACAGAAGGTGTAAAACGCACCTATGATATGCAGAGCGTCTGGGCGAATGAGAGGTTCTCCTCCAGTCAGCCGGATCTTGTTCACCCCCTGCCGTACGAAGAGTCTGGCTAACGTCAGGAGCTCCTCTGTTGTTAGCAGCTGAGAGCGAGGGCTGAGTTTTACTCCTTCTTGTGGCATACAGTACTGACCTGAGAAATACAGAAACTAATCATTACTGATTCTTAACTCTTGTCTCAAAGAGACAGCATGCAAGTTTGGCCAAGAGGTCACATATTCACAACAATAACAAAGATTATTATTTGCATGATGATGCCGTGAAGGAGCGTGGGATCATGGGAGTTGTCGTCGTCTTCATCAGTCCATGGATGAGCTAATCTAAATTTTATTAACGTTACATTTGATCATCTAAATTGACTTTTTTAAGAACATTTTTTTGTATGAAAATATATATTTTTATCAATATTTAAGAGAAATTTTATTTTCAATATATCATTAGATTAAATTGATAAGAACATATAAAATGAGAATTACCAGTGTGAACTCCATTGACTTCAATGGATTTAATTAAATTTATTTGAAACTTATAACTGCTCAAAACTGTCTAAATTTATGACACCTACATATTATTTTTCTAATAAAACAACACTAAAACAACATCAATATTACTCGGAAATGCTGTTAAACAAAGTATATTCATTTAACTTGCATACACTTTTATGAAAAAAAATGAAGATGATAAACATAGTGAATCTGGTTTTCATGCTGCAGTGGTTCTTTTCCAAACCCTCTTTCTTTTTTCAAATTAAGACTACTTGGTCTATGAACTTTTGCTCTACAAACACATTAAGACATGAATCTGTTGTTGTAATTTTTTTGTCGTGTGTGTGTGTGTGTGTGTGTGTGTGTGTGTGTGTGTGTGTGTGTGTGTGTGTGTGTGTGTGTGTGTGTGTGTGTGTGTGTGTGTGTGTGTGTGTGTGTGTGTGTGTGTGTGTGTGTGTGTTTGCTTGTGTGTGAGTGAAAAAAAATAATTAAATCATCATGATTTCAAAGTCAAAGTTCACTTTCGGGTCAAAATAGACCAGAACTCAGAGTTATATCTCTTACCTTTTCGGTTGAAAAAATGTGCACAAAAAAAACAAAACATTGAAGTGTATTTTGACACATCTTAACTTAACAAAGTTTCACCTTCTTACTAAAAACTATGGATTTACAAAAAAAGCCTGTTTTCTTATAAACGAATGACACTCATTTACATATTTGTAAAAATGGTTGACACTCATTTACATAATTGACACTCATTTACATATGTCTGATGATCTTTAAACAGTTATTGCACAGAACTGAATCAACACTGAACTGACCTTGTGATGGATTTGAATAGATAAGATAGTAAACTATCTTTTAAACTAACCATGATTCTAACATCTAAACCTCACTTCCTCTTAGGTCTGACATTCTTACACTTTGAACAAAATGTACTAAAACGTTCTGTTCTTTGAGTATTGTGTCCATGGAAAAAGTGCTGACCATGACAATATCAAAAATATACTATCATACTGCATTGTCTCATGACATATATTGAGTAATAAAATGACCTTCTTTATTTTTCTAATGATTTGAGATCTCAGTTTGCTCACTGTGTGTGTGTGTGTGTGTGTGTGTGTGTGTGTGTGTGTGTGTGTGTGTGTGTGTGTGTGTGTGTGTGTGTGTATATATATATATATATATATGTGTGTGTGTGTGTGTGTGTGTGTGTATATATATATATATGTGTGTGTGTGTGTGTATATATATATATATATATATATATATATATATATATATATATATATATATATATATTAGGGCTGTCAATCGATTAAAATTTTTAATCTAATTAATTACATACTCTGTAATTAATTAATCTAAATTAATCGCATACACAATCTTACAATGTTTACATGGTACAATTTCTGGTAAGCTACGTTTTTATTATTATTGCTTGACACAAATTTCACGATTTCAATTTAATTTAATTCTTGTGATTTGATGCAATATTGACTCATTTGGATAAATATTAGGTAAACAAGATAGGCATTCATTTTTCTCAATAAAAAAAAAAAATCTCACCCAATGCTGTAAAAATACAGAGAGCCATATCAGCTGGTAGTATTTAAGGTTAAAAATAGCTCAAATTAAATATAATGCGTGTTTATTACAAATAACAACTTTGATATAAGTAAAAATATAATACATAGCCTATGTAATATAGTAGTAGGCTACATAAATTTAGAAAAACACTCTCTATAGCTCTTTTTTTATAGCCAACTATAACGTGCTATCATATGGTCATGAAATGGCTTTCCTGAGGTAACTTAGGCTAAATGTTATGTGACATAATTGTTCTCCAGCTGTTTTATTGACCTCTTTTCGCGGTTGAAAAACACTGATTGATCGAGGAATATACATTTCGGCAAGTTTTAGGCTGACCTACTGTATCTTTCAACATTGCTTATTCGTGTTTATTTACTATTAGCTAGAGATGATCGGTTCACGTGCCGCTATAGGGATCTGTCATGTCACATTTACAAGCGCCACCGGTATTTATTGTTTAATTTTCGTAATAAAATTGACAGAATCTGAGAGCTGAGATTTTTTTAATATCATAATAACGTCTGTCTTGTCTGTTTCCGTGTCCTGTCTTTAGTGTGCGATTTTTCTGTGCGTGAGAAAATGGTTGTGTGACGTGAGAGCGCGTGAAAAGTTACAACACACACACACACACACACACACACACACACACACACACACACACACACACACAAGCGCGCTTTCTCTCAGACACACTCACCGACTCACGCACACACTCCTGGATGCTTTGCATTGATGTGGTACTTTAGAGTTGACGAACTCCGTTTGTTATAAGTAAATGTTCCAAACAATGATCCAAGCAGCGCGTTCTTGTCTCCCTCCTTTTTACACGAATGGTGGCTACGGCTAGAACGGCTCCGCAAAGGTCAAAACGGAATGGATTAATCTGCGTTATTTTTTTTAACGCATTATTTCTTCTCAGATTAATTAATCGAAATTAACGCGTTATTTTGACAGCCCTAATATATATATATATATACATAGCCTTTTGTTTATGTATACAGGCTATCAAAGTACATCAAAATTTGAATTTAGGTTTATCGGCCAATATATTGGTTATCGGCTTTCAAATGTAAAGAATTATCGTATATTCGTGTTCAGTTTTGTAGGTTTATATTTAGTTTATATATTTTATAATGTATTCATTTCACAGTTAATCTCCAAATGAATGTAGAACCAACATAAAGACAGTACATTTCAAATACTTGTTTAATGGCATCTATTTATGAATGAAGGTCAGTATTACTAATACTAATACAGCTATTGATGTCTGGATAAAAAAAATGTCCTTATTAAAGCTACAAAAGTTATTTAGTCAAGGGCAGTTAATGATTTTCTGTTCCCTTTGTTCTTTGATTAACATTAATGTAATGACAGACAGAATTAGTGGGTACTGTCCCTTTAAGAGCAGCCCCTGCTGACAGAGACGCGGATCTCACGCCTCATTCTCTGCACGTTCATTTAAGACTTTATTCAACTCGAAAATGCTCTTATGTTATGAGGATACTCGTCAAAACGGACATTTTGGCATAATTTTCTGTTTTCTGGCGCGCTGTTTGTGTGCACGATACTGGCGTCGTCTTTCTGTGCGTTTTATCCCTTTCCACTGCTGTACAAAATGCCCGCGTCACCTCTGCAATTTAGCTCCGGCCGGAAGCAATTACCAAACCGGTTCCGCATTTATCACACTAACTACACATTTTGCGACAGCAAATAAAAAATATTAATTATGAAGGCTATATTCAAACAAATTTATAACATAACATTTTCTTCAAAACTATATCTAAAATTGTAATGCCTGTAGGAGTCAATTTTAATGCATTTTAATGCCATTAAGGCCTTAATTTTTTGCAAAATCCATTTAATGCTTTTTACGGAAACCCTGTATGTAATGTTTCATGTCATTTTTGCCATGCTGCTATTCTATAAAAACTGTTGTATTCCTTTTGCTGGGGGGATTTTCTCTGAAACCTGTCTGAGATCCTCTGGTCGTGATTAAAGCATATTCAAAGGCATTGTCTGAGGTCTGTCTGTGATTAATGCTGTGCAGAAAGTTAGTTAGGGGAACAAGTTTGGGATTGCGAACTCGAAGCCGGTTGTCGACTGTAGACGCAGAGTAACTCGGCCGACGTCGACTGTAGACGCACTAGAGTATAAATATTATTGAATGGGGATGTCGATTGTAGACTTAGGTCAGGTCAGGTGCGAAATAAAAAATCTACCACAACCTCATCTGAACAATGACACTATTGTCTTTACAAGCAGAATTGAACTCTGTTTGCATCATTGAATCATTAATTTTCAGACCTTTGAAACAATCTGTATTGTATGAAGCGTTATAGAAATTGACTTGACGTCATAAACATGTAACCAATCCTGTCCATGTGCGGGCCGAGGCTTTTCCACAGAAAGAACACCTTTAAGAAGGGACAGGAGCGGGTGAATTATGTAGGCTATATGAATTATGATGTATATTGAATGGAGGAGGGGCTAATTAGCATAATTAAGAAGCCGATGTCTTTCTACAAAGCATGCAGTATTTGAGAGACTTACAGCGGAGGTTACATTTCTCAGTGAGGGAAATGCGAAGGTAATTATGCCTCCGTCCAAAAGAGTCGGTAAGAAATGCTGAGAAAGGCAGGACGTCCTTCAGAACTCGCCGATTACCACCTGGAACCACAAGCTCTCGGACCTGCGGAAAACATGATCAGATCAGCAGAACAAAAGAGTTATCATCCACACTTACATTACATAGTGCAGTACATGGAGAACACACAACTCATTAGGTAAATAATTAAGTGTGGCAGGCATGAAATACATGTTTCAAAGCAGCTTTACAAAAAAAGTAATAATATTAATATTTATAATACCTTCATGCCTTATAGTTGCATTTAACGAGTTGGGCGATAATATTTGTATATTTTGCGAACATACAAGCCATCAAGAAGTTGAGATATGCTATACAGTATTGCCGGCCTTACGCAAGTTATGATTGTATGCGGATAAAGTTCGTTATACTTATATATCCAACTTTTTATAAACGCCAAAAAAAGATGATTTGAGATCTAGTGAAAGGTATTGTATTATGTGCTTTTATGTGCTAAGTGCTTTTGCTACTGAACAGCCCTGAAAACCCAGTCTGAATATATATATATATATATATATATACACACAATAAAACACTCAGTATTGAGATTTAAAGGGGACCTATTATGCAAGATGGAATATGTCCCCAGAATGTGTCTGTGAAGTTTCAGCTCAAAATACCCCACAGATCATTAATTATAGCATTTTACCCTTTTTGGGTGTGAGCAAAAACATGCAATTTTTTGTGTGTATCTTTAAATGCAAATTAGCTGCGGCTTTAACAACTTTCTTCAGCAGATTTTCTTCATAAATGAAATTCAACCAGTGGCTCAGATGCTAGGAGTCTATGGAGATTCTTATATTCTTTGGTACATCTAATAACAGAACATTTGTAATTGTTTATTTTTAATTTTTTGGAGCAGATATTGTATATCTTGAGCTGCTACAGCGAGGAAACAGAAATGCGTCTCTCTCAGGGTGGGATCTATGCTAATAGGGCAAATGGTCACCAGTCATTGACGGGGCTACTGGAACTACAAAACTGGAACCACTTGTTTGGGGAGACGGTTTATGATTTATGGGGATTATAAAAAACAAGAATGCAGGGCTCTAGAGTGCGACCAATTTGGTCGCACATGCGACCAAAATTTGTAAGGGTGCGACAAGAATTTTTCCTAGGTCGCACTGGTGCACCTAACGTTCTCGCATGATCGCAATCGCATCCGCTGCCTCTCCACAAACGAGTCTTTTGTTCTCCTTGCACGCATGGTTGGATCATATCGTGGTCTAAACCAATCAGAGATAGAGATTGGGTGGGTCTTTGCCTCTGGTTGGCTGTGGTTCAGATATTCCTGTAGGACTAAAATGCTCCGTGCTGTGTGATTGAAATAAATTGCGACCTGTCACCTGAGCACCAGAGAATCAGTTACGGCAATCAGCAGCATCAGCTAAATAAACGCAGGAAAACAGACGACGAAGAAACTTTTAAAAATGTAGGCTACTTGAACTAGGTAAAAAATATTGATTTCTCGATTCTCATTGATTTTTACGAACCGTTGGGCTATCAGTTGATGAATGAATGGAACATTGTAGCGAGCATCCCATCCAATAAATCGCAATAATCTTTGTGCTTTGTTACTATTGATATGAAACAAAGTCTCAGATTTCAAATTAGGTCCATTTTCTTATGAAATTCAAAAACATAAATAGTGTTTTGACGCTGTGGCGTGAGATCGCTCTGGCTCAGCTCAGCTCAAGAGAAGCAGCAGCGCGGAGCGCACACGATCTTCTCTTCCGCCTTAATAATACCAGTTACAGCGCGAAATAAACATGAACGAGCATCTGAAAGTGTGTTAAAAGATAGAGTACAACTTATCGAAATCCGTATCATGTCACATGGAATCGCTCAATCAGTGTTTCAACCGTGGAAAGACGTCAGTAAAACGCTTGTAAACAATGTAATGTAACGCCACATTTACCTCAGAAAAAACATATCCAGTGCCCATAAACTCGTTAGCTAGTGTGGTGGCAATTTTAATGATATTCATTGATCTTTAGTTAAATATAGGTGATTCAAAGAATGTCACATGTGTGTCTCTCACTTGTAGTGAGAGAAGATTCTGTTTATGTACCTGGGGAGGCAGAAGAGGGAGACACTCCAGAGAACAGACGAACAAGGACCTCTGACCTAGATGTCGGAAGGCCATTTGGTGCAGGGGAGCTTAGTGGGCCAACTAGTGACGTCTATGGAAAACTACTGGGAGGAAGGCTCTGGGGGGAAGAAGGCCTTGAAACTAAGATAAAAGCTAGTTCAGTCTGTCTGGGGGTGTGTCACTCTTCTGCACAGGGTAACAACTGTGTATTAGACTGCTCCTATTCTTGCAAGAATAAATACTTCTATTTTATATAATTTGACTCTGAGTGTCTCTTACGCAGTGATGTTTGTTTGAGATGAATTTTTGCCACAACAGATTGGTGTCAGAATAGTGTGATTCCTTGGAAGTGCCTTCTGGACCTGAGAGCGAACGGTGTTTGGCCACCTGGACTGAGCAGTTCCAGCTCTACCTCGTAAATTTCAGAGAGAGGGGCCGACCGCTATCAGGGCCAGGAGAAACTGCACTGGAATCAATTGAAAGAACCCGGTGGCAACAGAAGCATCTCTGGTAAGAGACAGTTCAATTTATTTTCTTTTTGGTAAGTTAAATAAATTCAGTTTAATTGGGGAGAAGAGTGAAATTGAACCATATTGGCTGAAGGCTGTTTCTGTGGTACGTAATCTGAGATTAATTGAGATCTATATAGATCAAGAAATTTCAAACAGATACGAGGGGAAAAAATCTGAGATTAATTGAGGTCTGTAACAGAACAAGAAATTTCAAGCAGATAAATAATCTGGGATTAAGTGAGAACTGTAACAGATCAAGAGATTTCAAACAGATAGGTACCCTGAAAATTAGTTGTTCCACGACGGAGCAAATTGTTTTTAGGTACTGAGGCTAATTAGGGGGAACCAGAACAGTTTTTGGTAAACCTTAATTAGGAGGGCACTAATAGTGCAACCCGACCGATTTGGGTTAAAAGAAAGAATCGGGTCTGTTGGGGACGCCTAAACAGATTAGAGAAAACGCGCGTTGAAGAGAAATCCACAGGGAACAGAAAACAGCCAGTATGGGAAAATCTCAGAGTAAGCATGCCAAATTTGATACACCGGTTTTCTGTAGAACTAGGAAAGTATGGGGGGAAATGTATGTTTTAGATATTGAAAAAAATGGGAAAATACCATGATTTCCCCAGGGAGGGAAACACTGAGCACAAATAGACTAAGAGTGTGCGAGAATCAGTGGAACAGGGCAGCGGGACAAAAGGTTGTTGTGGCTGCGTTCAACATGTGTGTAAAAAATGTGAACAGATAATGGATTGTTCAGTTGAAGATAAAATGTCGAACTGCCAGGAGAAATAATGTTTTTTACTTCTTCATCCAGTAAATGGATGCATGACATTAGATGTCTATAGAACTTAAATTTATATGACAAGGATTGAAGTAGCAAGAAGCAATAAGTCTGTCTGTGTGAAATAGAGGGAACTGTAAGTGAGACTTGGTGAAAGAGGGAAGTGAAAAAACAAAAAGGTTGGTGTGTGAGATATGTTTGTGTGGGGATTGTGCAAACAATCATGTACTGGTTAGATAATGAAGGAACTGGCATGTTTGAGAAAAGAAAGGAGAGGATAATGAAGGAACTGCCATGTAGAGAAAAGAAAGGAGAAATATAGTAGAAAACTATATGTGATGAAAATAGACATGGTCTGACAGAATTTATGGAAGTCAAATTAACTGTTTAAATGATATGAAAAGTTTTAGAATAAAATAAGGCATTGTATGATTGACAGGGATTAACATGATATGAAGAATGTTTTAAGCAGAATGGGGAATAATTCTAGATTTTGATAAAATAATGATTGAAATGATGATATATCTGCTTTATTTTATTAATGTTAAGAAAATAAGGGTATTGAAGCAAGTAGCTATAATGGTTGTCTGTGTAATTTACGGACTGAGTAATATAATCTGTTTTGGAGAAACAGTAGAGATAAGACTGAGACAATAATGATAATATTAAGTTGAATCTGCAGACTAACCATGTGATGGAAGAAAAAAGGCTTCAAGCCAGTTGTAATGAAAATAATGATGTACAAATTGTTACAGTTTATGAAGAGTAACTGAACAGTCCGGGAAAATAAATAAATAAATAAATAAATAAATAAATAGTGAGACAGAAGAGAGCAAATGCTGTAAACAGCTCTGCTCTGAAGATCTCACTTTGAAGAGATTTGCAGATGATGTTTTGTAAAAGATAAGCTGGGATAACCGCAACAGTACTTGTAATTAGTGTTGTTGATGATAATACCAAATTAGTAAGGTAAAGACAGAAAACAAATTAGAATATTTTGAGCATTTTCTGTGCTGCTCATGAAATTATGTTCTGCCAATAATAATGATGAAGAGTATGATTTGGCTATTGTGATTGAATCCGCCATTGGTGGATGGTCAAAGGAATACAGAGAACTGCTTATCAGTGGGTCTGTTTACATTCCTGAATGGGACACACACTGCTTCAAGGGTGTGCAGTTAAGTTGGAGCCGTTTGGAAGCTCACAGTGATCAAACTGCAAGGTGTCTGATGCGGTAGTTGAGGCTGACACACGAACCAACCAGATGACAGAGAGTGTCTCGATTGTGGTCAGCAGGACCATTTAACACGTGACACATTTCTGATAATAATGTGGGTTTGAAAGTAGATCAGTGTTTAAATGACGACAGTGACAATTTTTGGTCTGAGAAATAAGAGATAAAAAACAAGGTCAAAAGATTGAAGTCTTAAAGTGAATCCTTTTGAAGAAAAGGTCTATAATAATAGTAATTTTTATAAGTGAATTGAATACCGGTTGATGTAAAATTAATGACTCCAACAAATGTGAGTTGCAAAATATATCAAAGTAACTAAAAGGATGATTGTTGTAATTAAACATTTTAAAAAGGTTTAGATGATATAGAGAGACTAATCTCACAGATGATTTACAATAACTGCAAAAGTATCACAAGCAGAGA